TATTTTTTCCTTTTTGTCTTTTTTCATGTCCGGCAACAGATCGCAACCCTCAGTGTCGCGCCCGTACCGGACCGGGACCGGCAACGGGACTGCAACCCTCAGTGTTGCGCCCGCACCTCGCTCAGCCAGTGAGCGGGAACCGGTCTGTATGTGGGATCCCAACCCTTGGCGGGAGCGCCACTGTAGCAGTGCGCCACCGGGCCGGCCCATTTTTAACTTTTAGATCGTATGGGGAAATAGGCAATCTCATACATTGTTTGTGAGGGTTTAAACAGCATATTTTGAACATCCTTCTTTAACTTGTGTTTCCTTCTACCACATCATTTGAATGGGTGCGTTTTAAAAATCAGTCCTATGGCTGGCCACACAGTGGTGTCTGGGCGTGATGGGTGTCTGCACACTAAATGTGAAGCTCTTGCACTTCTGCTGCTTACTGGACTGTGTGGCCTTGGGAGTGTTAATTATTTTCTCTGAGCCTCAGTTCTTCATCTGTAAGTTGGGGATAATAATAGTTTCTGCCTCATGGACTTATAGTGGGGACTAGATGCTGTAAATGCACAGTTCTTAGCACAGGATTAGTTACTGGTCCTAACTGGCAAATGTTGGTAATATTATTGTTGTTATGGTTACTTTTATTAGTAGTAAGCTGGACCCAGTGCACTAGAGCGCCTCCCTTACTGCGGCCTCACCGGCAGCAAGGGCTCCGTGTGTTCACGCTTGGCTTTGCTCTCCCTCTGAGCCTGGATTAACACCGTCCTTTGGTCTTTACTCTTCCTCACAGATCCTGTTCTCGAACATTGAAGACATCCTGGAAGTCCATAAGGATTTCTTGGCTGCCTTGGAGTATTGTTTACATCCGGAGCCTCAGTCTCAGCACGAACTTGGGAACGTTTTCTTAAAATTCGTGAGTACAATGTCCCAGCCCCCGGAGGACTCTGCAGCTTTTGGGAAGTGGGTCTCTCCCCTGCATCCTCCTTCACTCACTCTTGACCAGCATCCTCTGCATCACAGGAACAGCGGGGTGCAGCCAACTGGGAATTTTGGGCAGCTTTCCTTTCCCTCACTTTCACATGGAAAGTGGCCCCTTGCTGAATGGTTGCATCCTGGGGCTCCTATGACCCTCTGGCCTGGCCTTGTGCCACAGAATGACCAACAGAGGAAGCTAGTGGCCGAGAGGATGGACTTGGCATCAGACAGATGTAGATTTGAGTCTGTGCTTGGCTACCCACTGGCCGGCAAGGGGTCTGATCCTTGGGTGCCCACTTGGGCTGGTGGCAGAGAGGCTGATTCTTGTTGTAATGGCTTCTCTTTTCCTGCAGGATTCCTAGCTCGCTTGGGCTTGTAGGGGGTGGCTGTAGCAAGGAGGGGGAGCTTAGGCCACGTGAGACAACACTTTTCCATACCTCTCCTTTGGTGCTGCTGGGATCCTTCCCACAGGGAGAGAATCCCACACAGGCTTCCTGGGCATGGGGCTTGGGGGCACTCCTTCACCTCTCTGAGCCTCGTTTTCCTTCTCTGATTGGGAAGCAAGGGTAACGCCTACCTCCTTAGGCTGATGGGAAGACTCAGGGGAAATCAATAAAGTGCTTGGCATAGAGCAGTGGCTCTCAACTGGGGTGATTCTGCCCCCCAGGGGGCATTTGGCAATATCTAGAGACATTTTTGTTTGCCACAACTCTGGGGGGAGGGGTTCTACTGGCTTCTAGTGAGTGAAGGCCCTGGATGCTACCAAATATCCTACAATGCACAGGACAGCCCCACAACAGAGTTATCTGACCCCAAATGTCAGCAGTGCTGAGGCTGAGCAACTTTGGTATATGGTAGACAGTAGGTCAGTGTTAGCTGTTACCATCATCACTTCTCCAAGGGGTCCCATCCTGATGGTCAGAGTCTAGGATGACAGAGCCTGTGTGTCTCTGCCCACTGAGGGTCACAGCCCAGTGGAGGCAACAGTCTTGTACTGTGGTCAGGAGAGCCTTGCTGCTGGCCAGGCTGCTGAGCTACTCATCAGCTGTGTTTTTCTCAGCAAGTTGTTCTAGCTTGTCTGTGCCTCAGTGACCTCACCCATAAAATGGGTATAAACCTGTGATGTTATGGAGAGGATTAAGCAAGATAATACTTGAAGAGTGCTCAGAACAGCTCCTGGCACACAGAAAACGCTCTAGTCACGTAAGGACCATTCCTCCATGTTTGAAATGGACAAATCAGAGCACGAGGGGGTGCAGATGGGACAGGTGCTACCCTTGAGC